CATAGCTGGAAGAATGCATTAGTCATTCCTATTCTAAAACCTGGAATGGACCCAAAGGTCCCTCAAAATTATAGGCCGATCAGCCTTCTGTCTTCACTTAGTAAAATTTACGAAGCTATACTGCTTAGATACCTGAATGATTTCTGCCGAAACCGAAATATTATTATTCCTCAGCAATTCGGCTTTCGTGCTAAACACTCAACTCAGGCCCAGCTACTGAGGGTAGTTGAAATCATTCATACAGGATCTCGCAGTGGAAAGCCTACAGCTATTGTTTATTTAGACGTAGCAAAGGCTTTCGACAGATGTTGGCATATCGGAATTTTATTCAAGCTCATGCGACTTGAAATTTCGGCTAATTTTGTGCACATAATGCACTCTTACCTCACTAATCGTACCTTTTCTGTCAAAGTAAAATATTCTGTCTCTTCTCCTCGCCCTATCTTGGCTGGGGTGCCTCAGGGAGGAATTCTTAGCGCTACGCTCTTCAACTTGTATGTAAATGACATACCACAAACACCAAGTGTCGATCTAGCACTCTATGCAGACGACACAGCCAGCATCATTTCACAGCACTCAACATTACATGCCACTCTCAATCACCTACAGCTGTATTTAACAGACTTGGAGTCCTGGCTCATTACCTGGAAAATCAAAATTAATGTCGCAAAAAGTGCCGCCACAGTTTTCTTTTCCAGAAAGAGGAATGTCCATAGTCAACTCCCTCCACTCAGATTATTTGAAGAAAATGTACCCTGGGTGGAATCCTATAAATATCTGGGAGTTTATCTAGATGCGAAGCTGCTCTGGAATACCCACATCAATTATGCCATCTCAAAAGCAAGAACTACAAGAACCCAACTGATGTCTCTCCTCAAAAGAACCAGCAACCTCTCCCTCAACAATAAGATCCTTTTATACAAGAGTACCATCCTACCGATCCTGACGTACGCAGCTGTCGTCTGGTCAACTGCTGCCAATAGCCATCTAAAGAAAATCCAAGTATTCCAGAGCGTCACGCTTCGTATTCTGACAAATGCTCATTATTTCGTCCGTAATGAAGTGCTTCATAACGATCTCAAAATTCTACCCCTAGATGCCTTTTTTCCGGCAAAATTCGGCCAAATTCTTTAATAGATTAACGCAGATCGAAAACCCAGTCTTGCATTCACTTCCTGCTTATGATCCAGCTGAGCCCAGCTCAGCTAAGCGACCTAGGAGCGTTCTTGATAGAACTTTTAACATCTTTCCTAGGAAGCCAAAGCGGAGGTGTCTGCTTGACTAGGAATTCTTTCTAAATTTTTTAAATTAACAAGCACTTCACGGGCCTAACCCGGCGACCCTTAACTATTTCTATATTTCCACATGCCCGCCGGACCTAATCCGGCCTCGTTTCTCGGTTTTACATCCGTGCTGCTATAGGTAACATGCTCCTCCACTTGCCAAGACCTCATCTTTTCATAAAACACGGTCCAGACAATTAAAAATCAGATTTGCAATAGTTTCAACGTTTCTTTATTATTTTATCATCTAACTAAATTATTTAATTTAAACTGTTTTATTATTAAAATTTAAATTAATAATCAAATCATTCGAATCTAACTCCCCCATATGCTACTCCAAACACTTTTATATATGAATTTTTGATTTCAGCAAACTGCACAAATGTACAAGCTTGCATATCTTCAGTCATCATCTGCATTCAGGTAATTCAGATTAATCCTGTCTCTATTTTTATTTCTTTCCCCCTTTTTTTAATCCACCTTTCCTCGCTTGCCTTCCCTTTAACTATCCTAAAATTTCTCCGTCTTTTCTACAGTTAACTTTCTTCACGGTTCTTTCCGCTTCAAAAGTTGCTCCTATTCTTCTCTCGCCACGGGCGGTAGGAGAACTTTTTCGCCTCTCGAATCCTTTTCCCCCCTTCTTTTCGTTCCACCATCCCTTGCTCCGAGCTTTAGTCGTAAGACTCTCTCCCCCCCAGCCCATCCCCAAGGCATTAGCAACTATTGCGGTTTTCCGTATTACCCAATATACCCTTCCTTTCCAAAAAATTGCATTGTTGTTCGTTTTCAATCAATCAGCTATCAGCTTCGAATGCTATCAGGTTGTCTGTAATGGGGAACCATGCGATAGGTGGCGCGATTGTAGCAGGTCGTGTGTTTTCGCGTTCCGTGTTTTTACAACTTTAGCAGAGGGAATTCTTTATTCTAGGTACCATTTTCTGTTGTATCGGATAGAGGATACTCGTGCGGACACATGGATACCATTTTTATGTGATTGTGATCATCGGTTGATTAGTTACGGACTAATTAGTATTTGTGTACAGTGAACAACGTGGTTGCGCCCAGCAGATGTGCTTTGTGTAATCGCCGTGCAGCCGTCGAAGCTCGCCACCTTTCGAAACTTATATCATCAGAGAGAGGACTTTTTCAGCTTTAAATAGACACCAGTTACAGGTCAGTCCGATTAAAAGCACGCGATAAATTAATTTTTAAAGTTAATTAATCTTCCAGCCACGAGGTCCGGTGACCTCTGACCTTTCCAGCCTGTTCAACGGTCCGCCGCATTCCAGCGACCCCCCGTCGACGGTGATTCCCTTTCACCGAACAAAGGAAGAAAGAAGGACTGCAGATAAGAAGTACAAATTGCTAATTACGCATCTAATTAGTGTACCTCATTGGGACCTTTAGTTTTAGCATCTACTAGTGACAAGGATCACGGCGATATAATTTTTGTAATTTACGGATGATTATTTCTGGAGTTATTAATTTCGCGTTAATTAGGACTTAGATTCTGTTTATTCAACGGTTTGTGTTTATGTGCGAGTTTTTTTTTTTAAATAAGTGTCTGCATCTTAATCTGGATTACGCCGTTCCTGACAAGCACAGAAGAGGAACAGATGATGATTTAACGGCCAAGGTAGGCACTTATTGTTTTATTTCGAGATTTAATTAGTAGTGAGGTCAGCTAATTGGCAGGCACTTTCCCTTTCGAAGTGTGCCCTTTATTCTGACTTGGTCAAGGACATTTTGTTGGTTTTTTGACAGCTATATTTATAAAGACAGTAAGCTACTAATTTACTACTGGTTCCATCACACCTAATATTTTAATTAATTAATTTCCTAATTTATTTTTAATTTCTAATTTCCATGTAGTACAATTACAATAGCGTAAAGTACAGTGTTAAAGTTAGTACGGTAGAGACTCTAATCTTTCAATTTACAGTATTATTACTATGTTCTGGTTTTTGTAATTAATTTTTCTCAATTAAATTAAATTGCAGTTGTATGTGACGCAGCTCCTGTGATTTACTACGCTGCGTAGGTAGTAATTGATAGTTTTACAACAATAATTAAGAAGTGCTGTTACGTGTCACATTTTGCTTTGATTTAAGTAATTATTTTTCTGGTTAATTAAGTCTTATGTAATTATTGTTTAATATTAGTATATGTAACATTTTTAATTCTCAGCGTGCTAGTGTGAATTGTGTTATGTGCTTATATTTTACACAAATTGTCTTAGCGCGGTGATATTAGTGTTGGCATACAGTGTTACATACCGATAAGTGCCTTAGTAGAGGGTTTTCTAAAGAAGTGATCTGTGTTTCTACAGTGAGTGCTAAGCCAAGTGTGATATTAAAAGTGAAAGTTAAGCAAGAGTGATATACAAGTGTGATAATAGTGTTATTAGTGTCTCCAGTGAGATCATACCAGTTGTCTCAATATTACTTACTGGTATTCTCACTTTCATACTTTGCCACTGCAGTATTGTCAAAGTCTACTCAAACTGAAGAATATATGTCACTTGCCATAGCATACTCATATTGTATTATAACTGTTATATGTTTGATTAATGTACGTACCGTGCCCTACCTTGTAACCAGTTGGTATCCACTTCTCCCTACGTGTCCCTACCACTCAGTCCTATCTCTTAGCGCTGCCCAGCATCATTTATTTGCTGCGCACATATCCTAGTGCATCACCAACAGTGCTCGTATTGCACTATTAACAGTGCACCGCACCGCCATCAGTGTACACTTCATGATGTCTATTGATGCAGCCACGCCAGCTTACCAACGTAAATTTGACGCAATTTCAATCCTCAAACTCAGAGGACTTAAGTTACGAAGAAAAGATCAACTCACTCTACGCAGAAGCTTCAGAAATTGCAGTCTCCTATAAAGAGGCAGACACTTGCTTACATTAGAACTGAGGGAGCAATTGCTAAATATCCTGGAAGCATTCAAGGACCTAGCGGAAAGAGGCCCAACAGACATCACACACTCCGCCTCACACCACCAGCACAGCTACCAATACTGACTCTGTACTCAGTACAGTATCTGCACCTTCTGCCTCTGCCATCTCTAACTTGCCCTCTGCAAGTACAAGAACCTATGCACAGGCAACTAAATCGTTGCCCAAGCATACACTCCTTCTGTACCCAAAGGAGAGCACGAACCTCACACGCAAAGAACTCAAGGATCGTCTGAGTGCAGAATTCCCGCTCCCTACATTAGGGGTAAAGATCACAACACTCCGACCCATCCAAAACGAAGGCTTGGCTGTTGACTTGCCACCCCAGAAGACGTGGAGAAGCTTAACATAAAACTGCAAAGCACACAGGGCAAGCAACTAGTTAGTTACCACCAAACTTCCTCTTACTAGACTACCCAAAGTTGCTATACACGACATCTCACCAGACGTCTCACAGGACACGATAGAAAAGACATTAGGCTCAGAACTCCATTTGAGCAATAGCACGTTTAAGGTATTGTACAGACTCAAGGACCGGGGCAATGGGGTCAAATGGGTCCTGGAATGTGCCCCCCACCACCTACCACCAACTTATGCAATCAAGACTGCTATATCTCGGATGGTGAGCCCACCGGATATTGAATTCTTCAATACCCGGCGTTGCTACAGATGCCAAGAATTCGGGCACACCAGCAGAACTGCCGTAACCTACTGTGCAGTACGCACAGTAGCGTACTGCACAGATACTCAAACCTCTTCAGCTGCCAGTAGAGGTAGCTCCGGACTGTACTTCTCTGGGAGAGAAATATAAAAAAAATTTTAGATGAGTTATTTCCATTGGATTTGGAGATTGACGATATGGATTTACATAAAGTAATGCGAGAAAAATTTAAAAATCAAACTTGGAATTCTACTTTAAGTGACTCTGCCCTCCTGGAGCTTGAGGAGTTAGAAAATACAATTCGTTCTCTACCGTCTAAGAAGGCCCCCGGACCAGACGGTCTTGATAATATTATCATAAAGATACTTTTCAAAGAATTCCCCCAATTGTTGTTATCTTTATATCGAGCATGTTGGAAATTGGCTTTATTTCCACGGCAGATGAAAATTGCCGAAATAGTTTTTATTTGGCAAAAAAAAGGTAAAGATCCTGCTATTTTGTCTTCTTATAGACCAGTGAGTCTTCTTTCTTCTTTAAATAAACTCTTTGAAAAATTAATATTGAACAGACTAAATTATTTTCTAACTGAAAATAAAGTGATCAGCGACTTTCAATTTGGATTTAAAAAGGGGGTTTCAACTGAAATGGCTGTTTTTAATCTGCTAAACACAGTAAAACGCAACAGGGATGGTAACAGGCACACGTTAATCATCTCCATTGATATACGTGGTGCATTTGACACGGTCTGGTGGCCTGACATAATTGATGCATTGGATAGCGCAAACTGCCCTGTAGAAATTTTGAATTTAATTCGAAATTATTTGGAACAACGCAAAATTCAATTAACCCTGGATAATGAAATTTTAATAAAAGATTTGCAAAGAGGCTGTCCACAGGGTTCCTGTTTAGGACCAACCCTGTGGAACTTAGTCGCTAATTCGGCCTTTGGTATGTTTGAAAATACTGAACAAGTAACTTTGCAAGCTTATGCCGACGATTTTCTGTTAATTATCTCAGGCGTAAAGGACATTGAAGTAAGAGCTCAACAAGCGATTAATAAGTTTGTAGAGTGGGCAGACATGCATAAATTAAGAATTTCCGAAGAAAAAACTACTATGTTGTTTATCGGTAGGAAAAGAAAAATGCGTCGAAATCCGTCTATAAAAATCCATGGAAGGCCAATAAAATGTGCAAACACCTTGAAATATTTAGGCTTTGTTATCAGCAATACGCTGTCTTGGTTTCCACATGTGAAACATCTTAAACAGAGATGTGCCGTTCTTACGAATGGCATGACAAAGACTATGGGCCTTAATTGGGGTACTTCCCCAAAAATCTTGCGGCTGTGGTATAAAACAATCACTGAAAGAGTTCTTTTGTACGGAGTCTCCATTTGGGGTTTTGATATGAACAAAACTATGAGTGGCTTACTGAATTCAATACAGAGGCATCAGCTATTACTTATTTCCAAAGGTTATAGAACAACCTCGACAGCCTCACTGCAGATTTTGGCGGGTATACCTCCATTAGATCTGCAGGCTCAAAGAGACTCTTTCTTAGGACGGATCCTACGATTACGATTGAATGGGGATTTATGGAACCAACATCACCTAGTAAATGATTATGAACTACGGGTTCCATCTAATCTTGGCCATCCTGCCTCTTTAAAACTCAAATCTGCAGTCAATTTATACTATACGGCTCCAGTAGCCAATGACATTGCTCTATTTACAGATGGTTCTAAAACTGAACGTGGAACAGGTTGTGCATTTTGTGTATTTAACAATACTCAAAAGGTATATACATGGACTCGAAGGCTTGATAACAGAAATACTGTTTTTCAGGCAGAACTTTTAGCGATAAACGCTGCTCTCACTTATGTTAAAAGAAATCTATCGGGCAAGACTAAGATCTTCAGTGATTCATTATCTAGTCTGCAGGCTATCTCAGACATTACGAATAGAAATCCGATTGTACAAGTTATTCAAGAGAAATTGCTAAGATTTAATTCATCTGAAAGACCACTTCTTACCTGGGTGCCAGCTCATGTTGGCATACTGGGCAACGAAGAAGCAGATACTTTAGCTAAATGGGCTGCTAATGATATCAACGGAATTGAAAATCCAACGAAATTGCCTTTTTCACACTTGAAGAGCGAGACTTTAAATACACTGCTTGTGAAATGGCAGGAAAGATGGACTAATGACTCCACAGGAAGACGAGTCTTCTCTTTTCTTTCCAAAAGTTTCACTCAGTCAAAGAAGCACATCGAATTTTTATACTCAATTTTTCACTGGTCATGGACCTTTTAATACATATCTCTTTCGATTTGGACTACGTACGACTGAGCTTTGTTCTTGCGGGGAGTTGGGAGACCCTGAACACTTTATCTTTCACTGTCCATTTACTAAAAACCTTCACTTGAATAAACCTTTAGATCAACACAGGCCAAAATGGGCTGAAATGATATTAAAAAACTCTAGTGAGAGTAAGAAATTTAAGGAAATTATGCTTTTCTGTCAGGAATTAAATTTTTCTGTAAATAATTCTCTCAGATCATCTCTATTGGGAGTGAGTAATTGACTTTCAGCGACTGTTAGATTTTTACTGTATAATGGTAATTGTTTAACTTTGTGTGTTTGATGCTTATTATTGTTCAGTTTTGTTGTTTCCACTACTTATGTTACTGATTTAAAATTAGAAGTGGTTTTACGTAGAACAGACGTATCTGACATTGAATGCATCTATGCTCTTATAAATTGTAACGGTTAATTGTAGCCTATTAGTTTTGTAATTGTTAATTAAATTTAACAGAAAATTTTTGTGACAATTTTATTATTTTGCATATTTTAATGCGTTCTTTTGTAATTGAATTGATTCACTTTGGTGAATTTGATAGGCATTAATTGTGCATTCTATTATAAAAATTTGCATTCATGATAGTTATTTTATATTAATTTTCTTTACTTTAATCTTGAATGCATTTTGTTTTTGATTTTGAAATTCTGTAAAATTTTGTGTCGGCATTTTTCTAGTATTGCATTTGTCTTAGCGATGCCAGCAAACCTAATCTAGAATAATTATTTTGTATACCTTTTTGCACTTTTCTGAATTGAATAGTTGACCTGTTTTTGTGAATTTTATTGGTTTTACTTGAGTTCTCTATTGTAAAATGTGCATTTAAGGCAGTATTTTATAATAATTTTCTTTGACTTATTTTTGAATGTATGTGGTTTTTGGAATCGGAAATTTTCATATATTTATGTTGGCATTATTCTTGTACTGTATTTCTATCGCGTTGCCAGCAAACCTGATGTAGAGTTTTTATATTACTTGGAGTGGTTTTGTTTTTAAACCAAATTTATGTTTTGCATTGTAATAATATCTCAGGTTCAGTGTATTTTATGATAATATTGTTCAGGTATCAAAGTTATTGGTTCTTAATTCTGAATTCATATGAAAAAATTTTATTTGGCAGTTTATTATTGTCTTAGTTTATCTTTATGCATTTTTTTTTCTAAATTGAATGGTTCTTCTTGAATTTGTGAATCTAATTGATATTAATTGTGTATAATGCAGTAATGGATGTATTATATTTTGTTTGTACTATAGTTTTTATTTAAATTAGTTGGACTCAGTTTTGAAAGTATTTCGTATTTTCAGTACAAATTATGAAAGTATACTCGGTTTATTGTTTGAATGCTATAGGTACTACTTGTAACATGCTTTCTTTAGGGTCTTTTATGACTATGTTACTTATGTTCTTGTGTTCTTGAAGGCCTTGTATGCCACTGTAAACTTATTCTGCTTAGTCATAATAAATAGCTTCTGGAGGCAGGGGCTTTAATCCGTGTAAGGCAGACATCATGTCAGCTAGGTAATGGAGCCCCTGTTCTCGGTTACATAAATGGATCGAGAAGATAGACATTTTAAATCATCTCGCAGAAAATGACTCTACGTTTAATTCTACCAGAAATGACCCTAAGCACACTGCTTTGACTAACTCTGCTGCGTATACTTCTGAAAAAAAAACCACCACACTCCCAGACTTAAATCCCATACAGAATATTTGGCAAGAATTGGAATCAAGAATTCGCAAACACTCCATTTCTTCAAAAGAAACAATTAAAATCGGGCTTCGAGAAGAATGGGGTAAAATCGATTCAGAAATCACAAAAAAATTAGTCGAATCCATAACAAGATTAAATCATGTTTTAAAAGTAAAAGGAAATCCAACAAAATATTAAAACCTTTTAAAAAGTCAAAATTTTTGGATAAATATTTGATGGAAAAGTAAGTTTCCTCACTTATGTTATGTGAGCCATTTTTTGCTCCGTTTCTAAACAATTGTATTTTTATTAATTAATATTTTGAGAAAATGTATGTTATGTAATAATTGTTACTAAATTTAAGTATGAAACACACCCACAAAAATTTTTACATGTTTTTAAAATTAATTTTACTACAGTTTCCTTTTGTAAAGCACAAGTGTCCCATCACTTTTGTGAGACACTGTATATGTGTGCGCTTCCCAAAGAAAATTATTCGCATCTAATAGTTATTAAAAAACATTGTAAAAGCCATGGTGTTTCTATATTTAAAGTAGTCAAATTTTGGCTTCAAGAGGAATAATTGTTCCAAATACATATCCAAGGAAAAGAATCTGATGTGTACACCACATGACTTCCTTGTACGGAATATTAAATTATACGCATTTTTTCTTGCATTTTATTTAAACTTATTGGATTGAATTAAATCTACTTTATCGATAGCACATAAAACACAATAGAATAAATGCGCTTTTTAAAAATTTACCACATTTATTTACTATAGCGAGATTCTGGCCCTAGATTCACTTAACAACGTTACATTTCATTCATTTTTTAACTCAGAATGCACAAAATTTATATCATCTTAAGAATTATCTAATCGTTGCCACATGTTCTATTCAAATACTCTAATAAATCTAAAACGAAAACGATGTATAAAAGAAATTAAGCAGAGAACAAAAAAAAAAAAAAAAAAAAAAAAAAAAAAAATTCACAGACGATTCAGTATTTCTAATTCAATTAATTCAGTTCTCACTTCACGACAAGGCAAAAATGCATTAAAACTCAAGATGTCTGTATTGAA